TGCTGAGAAAAGGGTACAGAAATTTGTGTGAAATTCACATGAGTTTCATCGTGTTGTATTATTCGCCTGTGGCACGAATGCTTGTTTTGGGAATGGAGAAAGGGGTGAATCAGGCACCACCGAAAAGGAAACGAAGCTTTTTGAAAATGTGTAGTGTTACCATATTGCGGACCGTCTTCGAGTATCTCCGTATTTTTTATGTTTTTTGAAAATGAATGATCATTAATCTGTCAACAATTTTATCAGTAATAATAAGTGTTGTTTTCTGGCTTTAAAAATAATACAAGAAGTCCCGGAACATCGGAAAAGACCATATAAATTAGATTGCTTAGCTCTTTGATGTGAAATCGTGCGCCACCATGTGGCGCACGCGGTACGCAATGTGTAATCACAAGTGGATCATAGGAAGGATAGATAAAAACTCGAACGACTTGGCAAGTTTGAATGGAAATCAAAGGCATGGCTCATCACAAAGGGCCGAAAGCCAAATATGTCGTTTTCCTCTTTCAGCTTCGATATTAGGATATTCTCGATCATCCCGTGACCATGTTCTTGAACACTCATAACTCTCCCTCAAGGTCTTATGGTTAGTAAATAAATATCATCTTGCTTGCGGTACCATTTACTGCCCCATTTCATCAAGCTATAAATAAATTATGCGGGGAGGCGAAGAAACAAATTGCTATGCGAAAAGCGAGGCCTAATGCTAAAATGCGCATTAATCGGCTAGTAATTGAAGAATCTCGTTCCACGCTTACTAATTGGACCAAAGGCTTCATTCTGGAGCGTGGAAGCCTCTCATCCTCGTATTCTGCATACATCTCAACACCTCGTGCCGCTAATGAGGTGTCGTCGGCCATCTGCCATGTCACAAAATTCATGGATGGGCACTTCCACTCACCGCGGTTCTGGTCGCTCCATCATGTAAATTCGATAATCGGGCGAAAAAAGGCAAAGCACCCTCGGGCCTTTTCCCGACGATGAATTGAATTTGTCGGGTACAAGCCGCGCCTGATGTCGCCCCTCACACGCACGCCTCAATCCCCACTTCAGGGCTTTTTCACGCATCAAAGAACGCATCGTATAGTCAAGAGGGTTCATCATGGCACCGCTGTCCTGCCGCTTGTATACTTTATGAGAACTTCTTCTATCTATCATTTAAAGCTCCTTGACTTTTATATTTGTGGCAATAACCTATAGGTTGGGGTTTTGAAGAGCAGTTCTTCCGAAATAGCTCCTTTCCTCCGCAGCTTTTTGATTTACCTTCCGTAGAGATCAGCTTAAGTGGAGGTGTGCTGTGATAAGTGGTGCCGCTTACCACATCTTCAGGTCCACATGTCTTCATCGGATCGGTCTCAAAGCCAATCCAATTCTGTTTCCCTTAAGAGAGTTCTTTAGTGCCAGGCTCGTGTAGGCTGTAAGCACAAGCATTAAGTATCGCTTAGTCTATCCCACGTCCTGGTGAATCTATAGCTTTGTCCTCGATTCCTCCTAAATTCTTCTCTTTCGCATAAGTCGCTTCCCGAATGCGAGTAATGTCAGACTAAGTTTTGCAATAATTGTTTCAGTTTATCCTCAATGGGAGATTACATGGATGTGACCGAAGAACCATGTCCTTCGAACAAGGCTCAATGTATTCTGATTTCTCTGCATGGAGGCGCTCATCTTAAAGACCTGAGGCTGTAGGATCAAAACGGGTGCGGCTTCCTGCCAGGCAGTAGTACATTTTGCCGGACCTTTCGGAGTGTTTGTCTGGCTGGAAGCTGTATCGACACATGAACAGTCGGGTAGTGTCAGGAGTGGCGCCTAACCCTCGGTTACAAACAGAACTTCAATTCAAAAGTGCACAGTTTTTTCAACTATTTTTCAGCCATGTTAACAATTAGCTATTCACGAAATCTACTGCCACATGTTACAACGTTTCGTATAATTTGTGCAAACCATGTCATATGAAATACGTGGGGAGTAGAAGGAAAATTGAAGCAGATTTTTCTCTAAATATGAGTCAATTCGAAGTGGTGTGGTGCAGATGCGGCGACTCACGGGATTTCGGCGCAAGCCAGACCTCGGATTGAACTTCACGTAGGCCAATCTAGCTTTCTATCCCTTCAGAGGCGTAGATCATCACATATTTGGAACTACAAAGCTCTCACTTGTATCATCCAATTTTTCCTAATCCACTGGTGACTTCGTAGCTCTGATTTTTCGTTTCATTTTTCCCTTTTGTTTTTTCTCTTTCTTCTTTTATTTTCTGTCTTTACTTCGATTTTTATTCTTCGAAATAGAGCGGATATGGCTATGAGATGAATGAGTTTACATTCTCCTTGACAGTATAGTCAGTATGACCCCTAAGTCAGCACCATCCATCCTATTCAAATCTCAGATTTTTGCAGCAAACACTGATATTGAACGAGGGTTTTGTCTTGATAGAGCGGGAGGACCGATTTCTGATAAGATTACTCGATCTGTATCGCAGTTTTAGCACTAGAAGTGTTAGCAGAATCCGTTAGACTTGCAACGGTTCAAAGTTAGTACTGATGTTGAATCAAGAGAAGTATCACAAACCGAAGGTGATCGAAGAAATTGCCCGATTACTCTTTTATCATGGAGATATACACTAACTGAATTAGAGGAAAAAGAGTGATGTCGTCCGTTGATTAATTTCGACAGTCTAATTTCTAAACAAATTTCTAAATTTCTAAACAAAGCTGGCAGAGATAAATATGAAAGAATTTTGTTGTGAACTTATGGTTCAAGCATGGTCTCCTCCTTTCTCCGGAGAACAAGAATAAAGCAATTTTCGGCAGAACATACCGTCCGCAAGTTTTTGCTGTTACCTTTGGGAGGTTGGCTGAAAATCTCTCATTGGGTGAAAAAAAATGTGAAGACCTAACTCAAGGATCTCTCCTGTTCTCCATTTTCCGTAACGCGGTTAGAAGGGCAGCGTGAAGAAAGAAGGGCTGTGTGAATATGAGAGATTGGGGGTTTCCCAAGAGAACCGAATTGACGGAATTGGTGGTCGTAGGCGAGGAGGTGTATTAAGATTCACCCTTAGCGCAGTGCATGCAACTCTATTTGTGTCATTCGCAATTTGTTTTTGCTGTTTGCTACTCACGTTGTTTTCGCGACAACATTACTGTAATCAATCAAACGGTAACGCCTTTGTTTTTTCGTGCTGTTCACGCCCAGTGACGAATCGCGCCACCCATTGCGCTAACGATTATCCATGATAAGCGCTCTGATACGATCTCGATATCGATCTCGTCATCATCGGGCAACTATCACATGCGTCATCCGACGCACGTTCACGGCATTGTTGCCGCTGTTCCTGTTCCATTCAGGCATAATTCAACGGAATTTGGGCAGTCAGGTTTTATTGATTGTCGACTAGTCATTGTTACTTCTTGAATGGGTTTTGTGGTTTCTCAAGTCGGGCGCCGCTCGTTCTTCTGGGAAAATTACTTCGCCACCAGAGCTCACGAATATTTTTACTTTTTAAAAAGAAAATAAACCAGCGAATCCAATTGCTGAATTTCTCACGAGTTCTTCGTGGATTGTACTCGGAGCATGTTAATTTAGCCGAACTATTAAACTTGAAGTACTATGAAGTATTCAAACCTCTTTTCTTTTTCCAGTCTTCTTCGTTACTGGGCCATCTTGAGGCCGAGCTTTCTAGATTTTTTCTTGAAAGTGAACGAAGGAGTCTGTAAGGGAGGGGAAGAGTAGGTAGGAGGGGCAGTCTATTTGTGAAGCACAGGGAAGAGTTCGAGAGAGGCAGTCGAAGGGGTATGGGCAGATTGGGCGGTGGGAGTCGACGACGGAAGTCGGTGGTGTACGAAATTGACAAACGAAAAACCCCGGGAACAGTTTTGGAGGAAATTGCTTGGCACGTCATTGAGGAACGATCCTGTCTTGTAGCTCTTCCATGGCCTGTTCCTCAAAGTATTCGATTCAATGTCGTTCCAATCTATCACGAAAATATTGTTATCATGCTCGTCGTCTCGTGTTGATCCGTTCTGTTCGCTGAGATTCTGATCAACTGTTTGTATAATTAAAAGTACAGTTTTCAGAGATGTCAGTACTATTCCCGGATAATCCGGGTACCAGCTTGGGAGAAGCTCGATTCTCGAATTACACTCAGGAGATCCCCGAGCAGTCTCCGGATTGGATTGTGGATATTTTCCCTAACAACTCATTTATTGACAGCGAAGCGTAATACAGTTATTATAGGTTTCTTGTCGAGATGCTAGCTCTTATGGGAACATTCAATAATCGGCGGTTATGTTGTGCTCTGGATTGTAATTTTTGGGCTGTTATACTGTATGTTTGGCAGGGGGGACCTCCCGCGCTAATCTCATCAGGTCGCCACCTGCTCTTCTTTCTCTCTCCGCCTGTACAAACTTTGTTTCCCTATTTCGTCTCGCTCGTCTTGTAGTCGTTATCATTCCCCCAACATGTTTCTCTTTCATCTGGACATGATATCAATGTTCACCTTTATTGGGCTTTATCTCTGAACCACTTCCTGATTTTGATAAGTAATTTCCTGGCTACAAAGTCGAAAAACTTCTGCTAGATGTTGTATCTAAGGTCTTGCTCAGGTCATACAGAATACTCGTATTTGTCACGGGAAAGTAGAATCTTTGTTTACATACCGCCTTGGGGTGCTTCAGTTGGGGTACGCGACAGGAGGCCCGCAAGAAGGCAGAGTCAGCGGACGAGTCGCAGCGCGTGTGTGCGATGTAGGACGTGCAGTGGTACATTCTATTTAACTTGACGCGAAATCACTACAGTACGCGCGCGACTCGTCCGCTGACTCTGCCTTCTTGCCGCGCGACGGGCCTCCTGTCGGGTACCCTCTTCAATCGTATTTCTGGGTACAGTAGCCAGAGCATGGCTGCCACGAGTGACGCTCAATTTTCTCGCGCGCGACAAGCGACAACGCGCCCTTCGCGTTCGTCGTTTGTGTACGTCCCCTGCTCCTCTCCTGCTCCGTTTGGTGGAAGGTCATAGTAGAACACACGTTTCTCCTGCAAAGGTATGTTGGTGCAGTAGTGCGTGGCAACTACAGTGGTCACAACCTCAGCGGGGCAGGAAACTTGGGATGGCTGAACTTCTCCGCTTTTGGTTCCGCACCTATCGCTGAATTCCTCTTATGTTTGAAGGTGGTTTCACCGAAGACTTTGCGCCAAATCCCCCTCCCCGCCCACCCTTCTAGAGAGTAGGGTATAATCGTTTACAATTATTTTTCATTTTTCAGCGTACGTTATTGGGATTTAGCGATATTGACGCCAAATCTACTATTCTTATTATTTTTGCTGTTAAATGCAAGGCATGTTCTCAAAAAGATCACCGGTTCGAAAAGTCCGGTGTTCAAGGCGTTTTTCGTTTTGGTACGTTTTGTTTTATTATATTTGCTATTTTATGGGTAATGTGGCACTCTGAGCCAAGCAGGCAGGCAGGAAAGGGTGTTTGAATGGGCGGATGTGAAGTGGGAAGAAGAACTTTATTGTTAGACATTTCGATCGCTGTGTAAAGGAAAGAAGGATAAAAAACACAAATCGGTGACAGCTGATAGATTGATTTGCACGCATTAAGGGCAGAGGTCGCACTGGTCCGTGCACTGGCACGTTCTCACTGCCCGTTATGACCTTAGCAGGCACACGCACCATAGAGAAGATCTGATGGCTCGAAGGTGCAGAGATTTCGCTGAAAAATATCTAGAATATGTGCGGATCTTGAGTCGATGCCAGCTCCACCTGTCTCATAAGGCTTAGTGGGAAACCCCACCTCGTTGGTTTACGGAAGCAGAATGTGTGTGAGATGCGAAGCGAAGACTGAAGCCAGGAATTCGTGAAGGATTTGTGTAAAGTCACAAAAAAGGGCAACGAATAGGGAACCAGACGCAAGGGCTGGAAACGGGACCTGGATGCATGGGGCTGTATAGGCGCAACAGTTTAGCTCAGGCCCCCAACACACAAATAAAGCCCTGATTTTTCATTCACTTCTCAAACATCAAATTTCTTCTTTCAGGTTTACCTCACCACCTTCATGAATGTGATAAGATGCATCGTATCGATGTCTATAAGTGCTACAAATCCGGTCGGAGAACTCGTTGACAAGTGACGCCGATATGACATGGCTCATCTTATCGACACTTACAACGAGAATCTGGTTTTCAGATTCTCTGCGATTCCACTAAACCATCTTCTACATACTCGAACTGAGCGTGCGTGTTGACATTCGCTCTACTATTCGGTACGTGACAAGACATTTTTGGAATTGAACTTATCCCCCAATATTTTACTTGAAAAAGGCAGCGCGGAAATATTCCGCCGAGGTCATGGTTTCATTTCGGAATCAGTCTCTCAAAATAGGTATCCGGCCTCCCACGAATAAGGAAAATCACGTTCCATCAACTTCTCTAAGTCCACTTACCCCAGAACATAAGTTCGAAAAGGTAAAACATTCCACTACATAACACCGAACCTCGACTCTTACGGCCTACCTGCCTTTTCCTATTCGTTCTCTGTCCTCCAAGGAAAAGCCGCGGTTCGCAGTACCCAAAATCGAAAAAGTGAAGAGCTGAGCCGCGCGTGAATCAACAACTACGGTACTTGGTTGGTGTAATACAAATGACACTTCCACTCACACCATAGGCTCTATCCTAGAACTTGAAGAGCTTGCACGCAGAGTATGGATCCCTTCTTCCTCATTCGTCCATTTCCGCAACCAAAAGGTTCCGAACCCCCATCTGAAGACTGAGAAGACTTCTTGGCGAGCCGCGTGGGCGCATGTAAAAGATGCGTAGGTCTTCAAGTATGACAAAGCTTTCCAAAGAAGAATTAAACTCAGTCTTCGAATTTAGGATAGAGTCAAACGGCAACCGACGTGGTCGACACCAATAAGAACGAAAAGGTTTTTGTTCCTTGTGAGAAGCCACACTATTTCTCAGGTCCGGGCGGCCAAACCAAAACCGCCGCACTCCTCCACAAAAGTTGTGCCAGTTGTGCGGCGTAAATATTGAAGAGTAGTAGTTTTCATTTTTCCAACAAAATCAACGAATTTCTTATTTTTGTCGTAATTGAGAGGGATATATCTCAAGCTATCGTCCTAGGGGGCATAGCACCATGCATTTTCTGTGCCCGATTCTTTTGTAGTGGTGCTCAACAACCTTCGCTTTCATGAGCTTGACAAAAACAATAAAGTAGCCATGTTAGGAATCTGAGCATAGTGAGCGATCATATTCATCTAAAAGTACCGCAGTGGTCTTGAAATGTGAGTCGGACTATGCAATGACTTGCTAGCCCAACTGATCTAGAAGTTCTGGTAGTGTCTGCGAGCATGAAAATGCAGACCTGCATTTACATCACACTAGTACCAATCAAGCGATCCGCGGAGGGAAAGGGGTTTGCGAACCGCCACTTGCCACCGCATCGCCTTTTACCGAAGAAAAAGGCAGTTTACTCAAATTACTGAGGATTTTCCAGGACATCTCGACAGCTCGACTAGTATTAGAAGGGCGCTGATAGCGACACTGTTGATCAGTCTTGCTCATACTGGTATTCAGTCTGTATTAGAACTGAAGCTTATCGATCAAGTAAGTCGTCTCGTTGATGCGTTCAGCTTCGAATTCCATAATCCTGATTCTAATTCTCATAATGTATTGAATTCAATTTTTTTCAGTCAATCACAGACGGTTTCTTCGACCTTCATTCAGAAGGAGGACTACTGTTCTGGATGCTCACTTCTGCCGCTTTCGCGCTTGTGAGTGGGCTTTTGGAACCATTTTTGTTAGTGTCCTTCGTGTTGAGCCACAAATTGGGTGGGGAGTTACAGTTTGAAGTTCATCTGGAAGGGATTTGATCCCACGGGACGAGGGATATTTGAGTCGTCTTTAGCCCGCATAGGCTAATGATCATTCCTGTGCCAGCACAATGATCTCTTCTTAGCTCTCGAGCGAAAAAGGAATATGCGCCTCTAGGAATCAGTTGCAATTGCTTCTCCTTGACATGCAGGGTTTTTTTTTCACAGTTATCTCATTTTTGCATTTGCAGACCTACCTTTTCGTCCTCTGTCTGCCAATCACCTGTGTCAGAAGATACGTAACTCTACCAAGTGGGTCTTATTACCTCAACCGTCCATTCTTTTGAGTATTCGATCACAAGCAATTTTTCGACTGCTTTTTCCAGGCAAATGCTCTTTTTACTTGTACTGCATAATGCTCTCGTTCCTCAACATACTTCAAGCGTTCGGAGCAATTCTGCTGTTTTTCCACGCTACCGACGGCATGTGGTACGGTATTTGATTGAGTTTTTTTCTGAAGTAAATTCACATGTTTTCAATTACTTTTTGAATAATTGTATTGATTGATTTAGCTTCGTCGATTTTTCAACGTATTTGTACTTTTGCTTCTATACGCCTATCGTGTACGTAACGTTCTTGAGGAGATCACTGAGGTGAGTAGAAGCTAAAAAATGGACTAGAATCCGGCTCCTCTCGTGAGGCGGCGAATGTTCATTTTCAAGAATCTTAATTGAACCTGCCAAGGTCATAATATCTTTTCCAGTTTGTTACCTTTCAGACATCCAAGTTCAAGTTCTGGCAACAGCCTTTTCTCCTACAGAAAACAGCGTGATGAGCATGGTTCTGGCGATCTGCCGGATTCCTACTTCCCACGCTTCTCAGGTGAGTAGGAAATTGAATATTGAAGATTGCGATTGCGGTTGCGAAGTTGCGCTTCTGACATGCTTTTCCATTGGCGATCCGAATCGCAAATGCCGTGTTCCCGGATCTCGCACCTAGAAGATGTGGATTTGTTGTGTTGGTGAAAGGAGTAGGCAGCCTTGTACTACCCCTGTTGACATTCAAGCATGGAAGTAGTAGATATTATTACAAGCATGTGCAGCATTGGGAAGTACCGTTCCGACCTCTACCTGCAACTGCCCAATGTACCGCCAATACAAAATGTCCTGTTGGTGGATTAAAAGCAGGTGACACCATATATTGTGTGTTGGTAAAGGGCAAATGTGGCTACAGTGGCGAAATTCTGTACCACATCCAAGTGAAACGTGGCGTTTCAGCGGACAAAGGAGCGCTCATATCAACCTAGGGAGACCTTCACCGCCTACTCGCTGCCACTCCCAGCTCCCCTTCCCCTTCACGTCGAGGAATACTCTGCACTGGTCTGCCTGCTCTCCATTCCTGCTTCCGCGTGCGACGTTCTACGTTCTGCCCCATGCCACCAAGATCATGGAAGGGCATATAGGTGACGGTGAAGATGTGTTGCCTATAACAGACTTGTAGAAATGTGAGACAGTTCGATAACTTTAATGTGATTTATATTGACGGGCCCTTAACCTCGACGGTTTTCTTAAGTGTTATATTCAAATACCATTGCCCACAAAACCTGCAACAAGTTCAGGTCTGACATCGCCATCGTACGACGATCTGTTCGACTGTTCGCCACGTGCTGCTGTGACTTATTCGGATGCTCCGCTGATGCTTTCTACAGCTGAAACAGCCGAGTCAACGGTGACGACAAGAACGGGCTCTGACGAGTGGGAAGCGAGGTGAGTATCTCTAACAATAAGAGTCACTGCTGAGGCTCTCTTTTTCAGCAAAGAGGCTGTCAAAGACCATGTGTCGATAACTGGATGCATATTAAATTAGGTGATAAAGTTTCTGAAAACAGGATAAAATTTTGGAAGGGGTTATAGGAGAAATCGAAGAGTAGTATCTGTTTGCCGGGTATTAGACGGTGCTAAGATGTCGGTCAAATTCGGCGATTGCAACGCCTTGGACCAGCGACGGAGCCGCGATCGCTCCATCGCTTGTCCATATCCTTGTTCCCGTCGCTTGCACAAATGCAAGCGTTGGAGCGATGAGCTCTGGGATAGCTCATCAGCGATCAGTGGGATATTGCACTACCAAAATTTTACTCACAAAAGATTATTTTTATGTTGCGACATTTTTGACATCGCAACCTACAGCCCTCCAGAAATCCTAGATACGTCCTCCCACTTTGACTATTACGACTTCCTGTCCAGGATTCCTTGGTGACTCACCCTGACTCCGAATAATTGTGCCAGTGTTCACCAAAAAGACCCATTAGTGTTCTTCCCCTTCAGAACTCAAAGGGAAGGATCCTTCCGTATAACGCGACGTCGATCTGCAATCTTATTAACCCCTTCGTGACAATGGCAGCCACCGGTGGCTGCCGTGTTTCAAATGGAATTTGGAAGTTTGAAAAGAATCTTCATACCCTCATTCATCTACGCCAGCCCTGGGCAGGGGAAATCTCCATCCACTCAAATTTTATTGAAGAAAAATCTCCTGACTCTCCTGCTATTGCGCAATCCCGCATAGTCGCTGACTGGGTTAAAGGGAAACTGTGGTGTATGTAACGAAGGGAGGTCGCAAAAGACCCGCAGCAGCCGAATCAGTAGGTATACCTGTAGAAATTCTTATGTAATTGAGCCGTAGCTCCAGCGGACCAAGTGTCGCGTGCCATTCAACAACTTCTAAGGGAGCTCCGTATTTTTTCAATCTATTGTTCATGCTTTGTGTTAATTGACTTGAGCTGTTTAGGCACTCGGGATTGTGGGAAGCAAACATGGAGACGCGACATCTCAAAGGTCTCGGCGCTGACGGAAGCCTTGTATTCGACGACGACCCGTACCCACGTTGGCATCGCTAGGTCCTGATACCGACGAGTTCTCCTCTCATATCATCGCTTCACTCATCTTCAGCACTCCGCATTGAGCTTAAATCCAAAAGCGCTGAAATCACCGCGCTCGCCCTTACTCATCTGCGCTCTTGTAAGTGACGAATGTATGGCTGCACTCGGTGGATGTACGTTGTTGACAATCTCTCTATCCTGCAGACCACGGAAAGCCTAGGTGATGAAAATAGCTTTACTCCGAGCGGGATATTTGTGATCGGCCTGAATTTAAAGAAGTGAATACGATTTGTTCCGACTGGGTACGTTAATAATGCGACATCTAGTCTTTTGCACCGGTATTCACTCATGGATTCCGGGATAGAAATTGTGGAATTCGTACCGGTGACTTTCTTCATAGGTGACTTCTTGTAACTATTCTCTCTGGCTTCTCGCCTACACGGTTATTCATCACCACTGTTTTTTTTATCGAAGGTCGTGAGGTATTTTATGTTCTTAGTGCTTTACTAGAGGACGCGTTCCGGAAATATGCCTCAGCCACCTCTTTCTCATGGATCTGTCGTTTTGTTGCAACCCGTTCAGACATATTTTTAGTCGAGCTCAGCGTTTATGTCACCATGTGGCTCTGTACCATCTGCATGGAATATCATGACTGGGTTCGTATCCGTTCTGCCCTGGTGACATAAATTTGATCTCTGAGTCAGGTTTCATTGGCGAATATCATCCGGCTTTTCACCAAAGACCGAGCTGTCCACTTCGCTGTTTGATTTTCGAATGTGTTATTTTCCCGCCAAGCGTGAATTATATAATTGTACAAAGTATTTATTAGTTTTGATTTTCTCGGCCAAATAGCATCATGTTTTGCTGATCTGCCTCCAGAGTTCCTTTGTTTCGCAAACTCTGCTCGAGCTGTTTTTTTTGTCGTATTTTCTATCAACGACGTTGCCGGTTCAAGTTGAAATGATTCTGTAGATACGTGTAGCGCATATGTTCTGGAATTGTGGTCAGCGTCGATAAATAAAGCGTCGCACAGGCTGCGTGTTATATGTTTTTGAAATGAATGCTGGATACAGCCTTGAGTAGTTGAGCACTTGAGCGCGGCTCACAGGAGCGCTGTGGCCAGAAATACGGTAACAAGTTGAAGCGGTTATGGAAAATTTGTGTAACTAGAAAAAGGCAACTGGAAAAGAAAACGTGTTCACTGAAGGGTAATAAATGAAAAACCACATGGTCCTTCCGAGTAGCCACTATCCGCTTTGAAAAAAGGAGTGAAGTCTTCCAGGGAATGAGCTGACCGCGGCGTGTTGATAGACGGCCTCGAGTCCACCGGGCAGGCATTATGAAGCGGTTCCTTGAATCCGTGAACGTCTGCATGATCTCAGCGGCAGGTGCACGTTATCGCCACTCTTCGTACAGCGTAGCCGGTACATTTGATTCGGAACTCTAGAAGGCCACTTTTCGAACGAAGCCTCTTGGCAGTTTAGCTGACAAGAACTTCGCGCAAACTTCCATGCGTGACGGGCTCTACAGAATGTTTCAATGAGATTGTTATTTATTCCATTGGTGCAAGGAATTATTTGAGTATGAAAAAGTTCAAGATAATCCTTTTGCTCATATTTTATGCTTTGTGAAGAAAGTTTTTTTAACAATGACTGATTCGGTTCGATCACCACAAAACCACTGTCGGCTCAGTAAATGTCCCTGAGATATTGAGCTCTGGCTTGTTTGAAAGGCATCGCCTCTATCTACAGCAAGGCTAACCGACGTGAATACTCTCCATCAACATGAAAAATGGCAACTACTGGGAGCAACGGTCACTCCACGCCTCCATTCTTTTTCAGTTCAGTCCCCATTTTGGGAGCTGAACTTTTCCATATCTACGAGACACGGGATGTCGTCTGACGACTACTCGAAAAAGTGCACCTGGAACACGGGAGGTAAACGACAAGAGTCCATCTCTGCTTCGCGCCTACTTTCTGTATATTGTTCTTTTTAGCAACAGAAGCGTCACTTCCACGTCCAACCCAATCTTTTGCAGCACTTAGTCGATTGACCTTCGCTGTGGTGCTTGTTGCAGGTTCTCTGATAATGAACTTGTTAAAACCCATCAGACCACCATTCAACGAAGCAATCCGAATGTCAAATTTCATGCAGGAGCTAAAAAGCTTAACAATACAAGCGCTAAATTGCTGATAAAATAAAGAATCACGCTTTAACAGAACCCCAAAAAAAAAAAAAAAGCTACACTAAGAACCCATCTGTTTCATTTTGAAATTGTATGCGGTACGCTCTTGTTACCGTAAGTTGTGGCCAGCCTGTTGTCTCAGCGGGTGTGAGAAACCTCTGTAGGCGCATTCCTCATGGCAAATGTTTTCGCAAAACTTCGCTATGAAATTTGATCTATTGCTCAGCTCTCCTTGTCTCCTGATCGGCAACAGCTGAGGACGCCCTGCAAAAAGCAAGGCTTACGAAAAACTCAATTAAAGGAAGTGATTTCGATAAAGTTAAAGATAAAGTAACCAAGTATATGAAAGCACACGACACTGGCACGACAACTACATTCGAAGCATTAGAACGTAGCTTAGTGAGCGAGGTGTAGCGTTTTCAAGACGAAAGGTGCGCTGGATGCTGAGCAGTACCTGGAAATCGCAACGCTTTTAATCGCTCCACCCACCAGTTTAGTCAGTAATTCGGCTGAAGTGAGCTTCTGTTGGCTTTTAAGGGCACATCTCTGGATTAGGCACGCCCACCTGTTTCAACCGCCGAGAACAGTGGCCAGATGAACAAGGGTTGATGTCACGCCTCTTCTGTGGTTGAAAATCATCAGAAAGGCGATCGAAGCTCGCTTAACTTGCTATCCACACACTCGTCCGCAAGCTTCAACTTTTGCTGTCGGCTGCTCCGTGACGCTGAGAGAATAACGCGGGAGCAGCTGTGGCAGTGTTAGCATTGCGCCTCAATGTCATTAGCATTAGAGCACCCAGCTGGATTTGCGAAACTCGTCCAACACGCCCTTCCTCTATCTCAAGGTGGAATTAGGCCGAAATAAATAGAAGAGATCCTTATTCGGGGGTAGTCTAGAGTCTTTTTTGCGTTCTTTTTCTTTTTCAGATCCATCATTTAAGCTTTTATGCACCCTTTCTATCCCGGAGCTTACCTTTAATTTCGGACGATCATTTCACTTCTAACGGCTACATATATCTTCAACTCCCATGTAATACATTACCATTACATTTGTTGGCATGAAGTCAACCATAGGTGTTAGCACTCCGGACGACCCCTTTCTTGGTTGCCACTCATTCATGTTCTAAAATGAACGGGTAAGTAGGGGGCTACCATTTACGTATTATTGACGAACTTCCTTGCTTTTTCGCCAGTGCCGCACCATTGAGCACTCCCACAACCCTCTTGACCTTCACGGAATCTATCGTAATCGCTGCCTTTAGCAGAAGCAGTTGCTGCCAGTGGTATTTCAGAGCACTGAGTTTTGAGATGCTACAGCGCTGAAGGGAAAATCTTATGGTGAGTGCGGACAAACGGAAGCACATTTCGCACGTGATATCCGATTTCGTCCATCATCAAACTTTAACTCAGAGGCGTGAATTCAAATTTGATGCACCATAGAGGCCCGCGTTGCCGTACAGCCGAGTTTAGAAAGTCCGTGCAATGCATCCATGCATTTGAATTGTTTGGTATCGAGACAGCTTTTTCAGCCTAGTAGAACTAAAAGAAGGGATATTAGGCGTTAATCATGCGCTGTTTTGGATACACCATAAGGTGTTGATCACTGGAGCAACATGGTCAACTACTCTACGCACATGAAAGGTATATTAGGATGGTAAGAAAGTCCTGAGCCGTTTGACACTTTTTTGCTTTACTTTCTTATTCCGCGTACAATGGAATCTACTCAACAATATAATCACCATTGTTACTCACTACAGAGTCCCACCTAATGGGCAGGTCAGCGACCCCCTTCTCCCAGAACTGAGCAGACTGAGAGTCAAAGAAATCGCTGACCGCTCTTTCAACGTACAAGATTATAAGCTCAGGAGGTTAGGGTAGTACAGCGTATATTTAATGGATGCGCGTCAAGCAGCGTGTGTTGGTGGCAGCGCTGACGCAATCTCTCGTACATCACGTCCGCACTTCGATCTATCAGTCCATCTACTTTTTTCTTACAAAAAGCCCTCTTCATGAAAGCTACCATAACCCAAAAGGCCGCAGCCTCAAGTGGTATGCTCCGGTTTCACACCAGGCTTTACGCCGAACAGGCTAAAAAGACGCAGGCGGTACCGGATCATATGAACAGAATGAGAGCGTTTAATTTCGTTCGAAATTCGGAATGTTCCATTGTATCTTTGATTTGTACAATGCAGTGGTCTCGTAAGTTACGCTCTCGATGGGTGGGTTTATCCTTCAGTGCATAAAACCGATTGGAACAGTAGATGTCTTTTGCGTTGATCGCACATAGAGCTTATTACACTTACGCAAGTGGCATGGGCAGGAATCATAGCCATCTTCAAAGTTTGCTGACATTTCATCTGTGAGCCAACGATAGTACGACGGTGACACTCACACCAACATGTCCGATTAGTCGTACACAAAACAACACGTCTACATAAGTCTGTCTCCAAAAGTGAATATTACATTCGTAATCGGGAGACCAAATAACTATTCTACACGAGTTCACAGCCAATTTGGTGAAAACAGCCGCGAGCCGCAAAAAGAAAAAACAATGTGTAGCCAGCACCAAAAACCAAATGTCACTTCTTAATCAGTACACTGATCCCACAATGGGAAGATCCAAAAACAAGTTTGAGATCTTGAGGTTGTAATAGTTGATTAGTACCAAAACTTCATGAATTCGAATAGGCGATTTAGTTGAACTTTGTTTTTTTAGTGTAAGTGATATAATTGTGGATGCAATTTGGCCGGGTGGGGGCACATGTAACATCGTGTCAAGATTACGGAACCGCTTTATTCTAGGAAGGCTTAGCCCTAAAAACCTTTCTACAGAG